CGCGCGTCTTGTACTGAGGCTCTTATTTGTTCAGCTGAAAGCTGAATATGCTGTGTGAGATGCCCTTATATGTAAGGCCAGCAAAGTGAAGTCATCAGTTAAAATGTAAACACATTAGTCACACAGTCAGTTCAAAGTAAAAATGAGTAAATAGGTGAACTGCAAAGCTCTGACTGGATGGGAGACTGAGACTCTCCCATGGTACTGATGCAAATATTGTAGTGGTGAGTTTAAGTTTCCTTTAAGTTTGTGATAATTAATGTGCATTCTCCCACACGTATGGTGCAGGTAGCTCCCTTTAAAATCATTGGGGTTGAACCTTGCAGTGCAGAGAGGAGATACTAAATAAAGCATTATGTGATACTGTGAAGCATTAGCATCTGTAATAAACACAATCTGGGTGTATGGGGGAGAGAGTGGTAACAGTGTCCAAAGCATTCCAGTGTGTTCATATTGTGATTTGAGTTGAGAGAACTGGGGAATAATTTCTGGAATAAACTGAATGTTAAAAATCTTAGATGCAGCCTGTAAAATCCTCAGAAAGGCATTTTATCCGGAAGATTGTGCTTGCAAAATAAAAGGTTGTCTTGTCAGTGATGGAGGAGGAGGTTGTGTGCAAGTGAGCAGTGGAACTGTGTTCACTGTATGTTCACTAATCTTTTCCAAAGGCACAGTTTCCAGTGGAAATCTCTGTTGTAATAAAATTGCCTTCTCCAAGCCTGTCTGCCAGTTCTCTACAAATCCTTTCCATGTTGATATGCTTAAGCCCTCTGCTTTTGATGGTCTTTTCCCTGTTGTATTCATGCATATTATTTGTGCTTTGGTTCATGCTGATCTGTAGCAGATGGGGAAGTAGAGAGCAGAAGGAATTTTTTCCCACTTTGAGTGTCCCTGAAGGTCAAAATATCTGCCTTAGGCTTCACTACTTGAATGATAATACTAATTTCACATGGCTTGCGGTGATAGTGTGCACAAGAAGGCGGTGTTGGGCTGTGGCTCTATTCCATTTCAAAACAGCAGGTAACAGGTTTTTTTACTGCTGTAAACTTTTTACAGCAGTAAAAAAACACTAGATATTGTGGATAAAGTGCTGTAGTCATGTGATAGAAGAAAGCTGACTTCCTGACAGGGGCTGTTTAAGAGCAGAACTTCAGCTACTTTTACAGTCACATTCCCTATCTCTTTAATTGTCTTATTAAAATCCACAGACTTCACAAATTCCAGTAATTCTTTGCTGTCTCCCCTCAAGATCATATGGTCACTTAACACCACCCTGCTTACTAAACAAAAGGGAAATCTATACCCTCCACTTAAAAGCCCTTCTGCAAACAAACAGTCTGAGGACTGCTGTCCTTTAGCCAAATAGCTTTTTGGTTAAATTACTCAATGAAACGTGGCCAACCATCTTTCCAAATATGGAGAAAGAAGGCATTATATTCCTCCCCCTTCACGTTCCCCCAAATGCAGCTGGACGAAATACATCCCCATGCTCAACCCACGCAGAATTTATGCCTGCAGAGACAATGCTGCAGTTTTACATGCCCTACAATTTTTGGAAAAATACAGGTCAGTTTTTTTCTACTGTGAAGATGTTCTGTTAGTGACTTTGTGCCATGGGGGAAACTCAACTGCAACTGAAACATTACATCCTTTGAAGGAACTTTGCAACGTTCTAAATTGTATCTAAGCTAGAGATAAAATGTCAGTTTTTGAAAAGAAAGAAGAACCCGATGTTACTTAAGCTTATTCTCAGTCTCCCTTCGTGCTCACCAGAGCATCCATCTGGAGAAACCTCACACAATACAGAGCTAGCAGAGCCAGACGTCCTTCCTTAAGGATGAAAAGCCATAGGCAGGGAACAGGATTAACCTGCACTGACTACTTTCCTTGTGGATGTCAGGCAGCATTTCACTGGGGGTGTTGAAAACTGCATGAGGAGCAAAGCTAGCAGGAATAGACTTTATGAAATGGGAACTATTTGCATTCTTAGAAAATGACATCTGAAATTTGCCTACTGGGGATCCACTAACACTGTAATAGGGAAGAAGTACCCTGAGGGCAGTCATTGGTAAGTGGTGTCCAAAGTCTTCCTGGAAAGAAGGTGGAAGAGGAGGAAGGAGCTTCTTCCTCCTTCCTCCTGTAGCTTTGAGAGGAAGGGCAGGTAGGACAGGCCCAGCTCCTGAGTGCTGCGGGGTGAATTTTCTCCTCAGCCCTAAAGCATTCTCCTTCCAGGGAAGGAGAGAGAAGAAAGCCACTGCTGCCAGTGGCTTACCTACCTACAGCCCTAGTTATAGTTCTCATCTGCTGTATCCAATCTGTGGCAAAGAGCAGGGTCTACTCCCGAGAGCTCTCTGCAGTAGGTTGTGTTTCTGGAACACGCTGATTCAGCAGTTTCTAATCATTGGATTTTTTTTTTTTTTTTTTAATTATTATTATTATTTTTTTTTTTTTGTAGCAGTGGTGAAAGAAGTATGGAAAAGAGATCAGGATGTATTTTACATTTAAAATTGAGGTATTGAAGCTAGGCAGTGCATGCCTCAGTAATAGAAATTGAGTGATTTTTTTTTACTTTTAGGCATTGCCCTTTCTTGGCTCAAGCAGAATATGAAGAAACTTGCTTGGAGTAAATTAACAATTTTTCCATGAAAGTAATAGTGCTCCTAAAAAAAGAAGAAAAGAGATTAATCTGTTAAATTATCGCTTGTTTTATTGTTAAAAAGCTAGGATAGATACATACTTTGCAATTCTTTCAACTACCAAAAATTCACTGACTTCAATTATTTTAAGACAAATTGTTCAGGACTAGAAACTTGAAGTTCAGACTTCCCACGTAAATTGTTTAAACACACACAGTTGAGAGCAGTCAGTTTTGATTTATGCATGCAAATCCCATTGACACCTCTGGGAGTTCTGACACAGACTGAAGAGAGTACATGGCCCTTAAATGAGGGCAAAGTGTCTGTCCACATGACTTTGGAAAAAGATTATTACGTAGGAGGAGAAGAGTCAGTTTGCCAAAAGTTTCTGCTTTCAGGCAGAGGTCTGTAAAAGGAATGGGTGTTTCAATCTTCTGCAGAGCAAACAAGCACTTGAATGATCCAGGCAATGGGTTACTAGTTCAAGCTATAAAAAAAAGAAAAACAAGATTCATGTTGCTTTGCAGTATTCAGACAATGAATTTCATCTTCACTTGTAGCCAAGCCCAATGCACACTAAGAATATGATATGACCAGCTTCCAAGATTGAAAAAAAAAAAAAAAAAGGTAGGCAAAATTAAAACATCTGCGAGTCTTTGTCTGCACAGCAGATGTGGAATACACTTTCAGGCTAAGCTCATGAGAGTTCACAAAACATACTTTGCCTGTTAAGCACAAAGTCAGGACGTTCATGCTGAGGTGACTACATTTTAGTATATTCTATACCCCAAACTACGTGTTGCAAAATTTTTGTAAGGATCCAGGCAGTTACTAAGTATGAGAAAAGCATCTTTGATCATAAAAGACAGGTTTGTATGCAGGGAAACTTGAAGCTTTGGAAGCTCTAGTGTAGCAGGACAGAAGATCCAGGAAAAGTCTGTAGGCTCAAGTCTATTCAGGAGTTTTATTTTTTTTCCCCAAAATAAGTCAACACCTTTAAAATGCAGTTTTGGTAGACAGGTTCTTCCAGGTTGTGTTTTCTTGCTGCAGAATATAATCTTGAAACACAAAAGCACTGCTGTATGGGAACTGCTGAGTCACGGCCTGAACCTCTGATTGATCACCTGAGGTGAGCCATGAGTCAGCCAGAGGAGCACAGCTGAAGGCAATCCTAGACCTACTGAAGAGCTGGCTACCAGAGGGGAAGGATCTCTTCTGGAGATCACCTCTCTTGGTGTTTTGTGGTGAGCTCAGTCGAAGGGTAAGCTCTTCCACCTATTCTCTTTTTGTGATCGTTGCCTATTTTGCCTAACTCTCTTGATTATATTGTGATTATAACATCTTGATATCTATTGATTATACACACTGGCAAACTTACACTCTACTTATTTAAAGTGCACAGTTACTGCTTGACTGCTTCACATGGTATTTATTCTCCACTAACCCAGTAAGGTTGGACTAGAAGAATCAGAATACATTTCTAATTTCTCTTTTCTGAAGGAGGATTTACGTTCTGTTATTTCCAGCAATGCCAAGGACTGAGAGTCAAGGAGAAAAGTTTTGGGGTGTGTGGAGCAGTTCTTTTCTACCAAAACTGAAACTCACAAGTTGAGAACTAGTGAGTTTTCTCTGTGGGTAAGAAAGGACTCAAGTCTCCAGGGCTATAGCCTCCACGTTAATGTTTCTACCACTTTCATCATCGCCCAGGAAGATCAAAGCTGTTATGATGTTGTGATATTCTTGAAAATACCTCTCTCAGACGGGAGGTGATTCTAGCCTGGGAAAGTGATTAACTGAAAAATGATTTGATAGTCAAAAGAATATGGTAGATAGGAAGTCGTAAGAAAAATAGAGACATTGAATATGGAGCAATTCCACTGTTGCTTCCAATGCAAAGATCAAGTGTCATTATGTGAAAGTGTCAAGGACATGATTCAGAAGGACGTGCTGCACACAACAGTGTGTACATAAGCAACCAAACTCCAAGCCATGTAATGCAGTGGACACAAAAATTTTGTTTAGAAGAGTAGAAATTTAAATAATTTAAGGTATAAATTTTAATTATTTAATTATTCAAAATTTTATCAATGGAATAAAAGTACGTCCAAAGCTTTACAATTGTGCAAATATGTCACTTCCATCTCTGAAATCTTAGAATTGCACATCCCAGACTTCGAGAGAGTGTTAATTACACTTGCTGGGATTCAAATTGCTTCATTAAATGTGGCATTTTAAGAGAAGATTCAAAAGTAGGCAGAGCCTTAGTTCAATCTGACATGGTTCATGCTGCATTCATTGCAATCCACTTTCCCTCAGAATGAGATTTTGTGTGCATATTACTCAAAATATTATTTTGAAATCAAGCCAGACCAAGGCTGAAGACATGAAAGTAGAAATTAGGATGAAGAGCCCTCAAAACCACAGTGCCAGGAGTGGGGAAATAAACAAAGCTGAAAAGAGAATGCAAGCCTACAGGAAAAAGAAAAAAAAAAAAGAAATAAAAAAAGAAATAAAAAAACTGTGAGTAATCAACACTGAGCTCAGTATGCTAAAGGGGAAGCAGGAAAATACTGAAATGAGAGCCAGAGTAGTGGCAAGGTCCAATTATCTCTTCCTTTATGTGTTAATGGAGGCAGTACTGGGACATCCCAGCCAGCAGTTATGTCACAACACTAAGACCATCTGCCTCCCTTCTCTCCTCTTCTAGACATCTGTCTGCTTCATCCTCTCTGTCCTAACAGGAGGTACTCCTCACTCCTCAAGAGTTTACAAAACCTTGATTGAACTTACACAGTTTGTGTTCAGCAGCCTATCAGGAGTAAAGGCGAACAGAAAGGAGAACACATTGTGTCTCGGGTTGAGCTCACTCGCCCACTTGAATTCACACTTAGAAGATGCATGTGTTTGTGGCAGTTAAACCAGAAAGGTAACTGAACTTGTGCTTGTTTTAGAAGTCTGATCCGTTTGGTTCATGTGACTTTGTTTCTGGTTAAAGTGACATTTGGGGTAGGTCCTCTTACTGTTAACTGTTCTGAGTGTCTCCTCTGTCTGATTAACAAAAGCTAAAGAATACTAAAATTTCAGCCAAAACAAAACCCCCCAACAAACATCGTCAGGATGTTCAAACTGAGGCTGAATGTTCTGGACTTATACTTATATATACTTATATATAACTTATATAATTAAGTATAATTATATTATATATATATTATTATTATTATATATTTTATATATTTATATTATTTATATATAATTATATATTATATATATTAAGTATAAATAAGTATATTATTATACTTATATATAACTTATACTACTACCATCCATACTCAGGCATAACTCCCAGCCATTACTGATGGGAATTTTACCAGAGCAAGAGCTAAGAAAGAGACCCCTACACTTGATTTTTTTTTTTTTCTTCTGGAAATCAGTGAAACCAGTGGAAACTTGATAGTTAATGATGCAATTTCAGAATTTCAAATTTGAATGTGAAGAGAAATGTGTAAATGTTATAGCTATTTTCTGTTGAGTGAGTAATGAACCTTCCATTTTCACACAGATGTACATGTAGCTGATGGCCCTAAGGTGTTTGAAGACACATCAGCACTGTGGCAAAATGTTTGGTTTGTGTGCTGCCTCTCTCTTTGGGCTCTGTAAATAATCATGCTTGCTCTGTATCCTGCTATTTATCTTTTCTTTAGTCTTGTATTTGTCTCCTTATCACCAAGATTTACTTGCAGTTGCGTCAGTGAATCAGTATTGTGTGACCACAAAGGACAAAAGAAGCAGAGAATCTCATAATCATGTAGGCCTGAAGGCATCTCTAGAGATCGTATAGCCCAATAACCCTGCTAAAGCAGGTTCTCTATACTAGGAAACTGTAAAGGGAACAACCTTATGTGATACAAACAGTTGGTATAAAAAGCAACCCTGGCATAGAGACTGCCACCAATTTATACAGCATCCAAACCAGAACAGGCAAAAATGTGTCTTCAGAAAGTTGGAACAATTCATGGAAGATGGATTATTTGGGGATAGTAAGCATGCAATTTTTGTTTCCCAACTATATCACCATTACAAAGAAAAATCAGTGAATGATGGGGGGTAACAGAAGCCCAGATTTCTGTTGCTTGAATACCTGTGATGATGCATTGTGAGATCCAAGGGGTAATAACATCAGTGAGAGCTGGCTGTGACCTTGCTAACCCTTGCACAGAGCAGCCTAGCTCATACCTGGACTCCATTTGGACATGTCTGTGAGTCTTGGACCACTGGGTGGGGATTTGTTTATGCTGCGCAGTGGGGCTGCTGGCAGCTGCTCTCAGTACCCACCCACGCAGCACCACCTGTGTTTCCCGAGCCCTGCCTGGCTCAGGCAGCAGCCGCCCTGTGAGGAACACTCGCAGCAGCGGAGCTGAGTGGTGTGGGGTTGGCTGGGTCCTTAGGGGCAGCTTGTAGAGAGCAGGGGACAGGTGGGCTTCCTGTTGAGGGACTGGGTCATGGCTACTTCCAGCCCAATGACCATGGCCTATCTCTCTCTTTTGTACTTCGTGGCAACCTCTGCTTGCTGGGGCACCAGTGCAGGGGAGCAGCTTTAGGAGCTTGTCTCTCCCAAGCCCACTACCTGGGGTCATGGAGGTGGTGGACTTGCCCTGTCCGTGGACGCAGTCAGAATGATGTTGCCTATGTCACCCCTTGTCTCCACAGCTACAGCTATGTGCTCCGGTGGGCGAGGAAGAAGCTGAGTTATGCCCTGTGCGGGGGGCAACATAGAGACCATCCAATAATTGGTGAGATCAGACAAAGATAATCTGAACTGTTCTGTCCTGCAGCCAGCAGAACACTCTGATGATGGCTTGCAGGATGAACAGGGGCCTGCAAAGCCAGTGCTCATGGCTCCTGAACACAACTTCCCTCTCGAGATCTGGGCCGCATTTTTCCAGGAGCATTCAGAAGATCTCAAATCAGCTCTGCAGCGGTTTCAACGAGAGATCGAGGGGCTCTCCAGCAAGGAGTGGTAAGAAGTGCTTGTGCTTGTGGAGCAGGGCACTGCTGTGGGCTTCCTGTGTGTGTACATTGCTGCAGGTGCTGTAATCAGTGTGAAGAGACTCGTTAAAATCCTTATCGCTCTGTATGGCCCCGAGTTCTGCTGGCTGCAGGACTCCTAGCATGCCCATGCTGCAGGAATGTAGGGAGACAGCCCAGTGGCCACCCCTGGAGCTGCTGCATCCCATTAGGGGCCTTCTGCCCCTGGCCTGGGCTGCTCCGCCAGCCTTGAAGGCCCAGGCACTGAGAGCTCCCTGACATTCTTTGTAGGCATCCTGGGTACCCTACCACAGCCCCTGTGTCCTCATTGGAGCTAGGGCAGGTGGTGACAGTTAAACAAGCATAGTTCAGTTGACTTGTGCTTTCATTGCTTTTGCATTTTATGTTGGATGAACTCAAGAGGTAAAGCACGATTTTCAGCTGAAGTAAGAAGTTGATCAATATTTTTGTTTTATGCATTTTTATATTGAAAACAAGTACATTTAAAAATATTTTATTACCAGCTTTTTCATGAACTCTTGAATAATTCGGAAATTAATTTGTAAAGAGATTGTGACTTTTACAGCTTAATAAAAAAGGGAAAGGACTCCTACAGGAATGTATTTCCAGCCTTCAGATAAATGTGTTAATGTTTATTATTATTAGTATACTGCCATACCTCTGTTTCTCATAATATTCATTAAGTAACATTCATGTCTTTCTTTTTCTATGACCCCCAATCTTTCCTAATGCAAGAAGTAGACTTCATCCTTTCTCATGAAATGATGCAAGGATAGTTATGTTTGGAAAAGCAAACAAGTTAATTGCTACATCTTTACGTGTAATGTATGGTACAAGATTCTCTGTGCAGTTTTTATCAGTGGACACTTTGCACTAAAATCTGAACTACTAGCACTTTACACTTTACGTTTAGGCTTCACTGTGCCTAGATGAAACTTAGGAAAAAGACATCAAACAAATACGGTCAATATATTCTACTATATCCAATACAAAATCTGTTCTTGTTTTCAGTGGGAATTAATCAATTTTTTTCTTCCTAAAATTGCTCAAGGCAAGCAAATGTTATGTTGGAGGGTCACAGCTGTCCAACTCAATTCTAGTACTCCTCCATTTTGTAAAGCTGTACTGCCTGTGTGTACTCGATGTTCTATTCTTACTACAGGCATACGAAACTGAAACTATTGTTTTAGGAAACAGTGATTTTGTTTTGGTTGTCAGTCCTACGTTCACTGAAATTTATGTAAATTCCAACTATGTTTTCTTTTGCATTAGACTCCAGGCTTTGGGATGTATTTGGGATATATCTGTTGAAGGTGTTCTGTGCTCTTACTGCATTGTGTTCTTGTCATTAGTAAAAACAAAGGCTGTCCCTGTGTTGAGCACTGCGGAAAAGGAAAGAGGCTTGGAAGGGAAGAGCCTTGGATGAGGGCAGCCAGTAGAGCAAATCGTCATTATGCTTGAACAGTTTTTCACTCTTGGCCATGTTACATGACAGAGCTGTTTTCAGCTCTTGTGCTAAATGACCAAGCTCGGCTCCAAAGAGAACATACTGCTGCTTGCAGTTTTGTAATCTTCATCAGAAGTTTCAGCCCCATTTTCTTATATAACTTTAACATAACTTTTAATAGCCTGGTGGATTCTTATGGAAGTCTCGTTGGCTTTTTAAAGAATCTATCAGCTTCAAGTTAACCTCGATCCAGCCTCTTAATATCACAGGATTGAAGCTTTAAGCACCTGTTTTTACTAGAAACATGGGATGGAATCACTTAACGCAGCATGGAGATGTTTTTTATATCTGTTAGAGTATAAATAGAGTTCATAAATACCTCCCCAACCGGGGGGGGGGGGGGAAACATCAGAGCTCTGTAGTCACAAAGTAGAGACCAAAGGCCCTGAATCATACCTGTATAGAAAGAGGTACTTTGGTTCTCTTTTGCTGTTTTCTTTTCCATTCATTTGTGGTTTCAGTTCTTCTCCCAGACTTAACATTTACATTTTCCCTCTTCATAATTTATATTTATACACAAAACACCAAAACACACTCTTAATTTTGCCCTTCTTTTAAGCATGTCAGTTTAAAACCTTGATACCAATACACGTTAACCAGATTTCATCCAGCCCTTTCAAAGAGCTTCGAGTCTCTAGAAATCAGGAGGCACCTGCACAGGCCTCTACTTGAGAGTGTACACAAGTTGTACTCACAGTACAGCAAACAGTGTGACAGTATCTGATAGGAGTTTAAGATGCTGTGATTTACAGGCCTCCTTGTTGTATACAATCCCCAAAACATTGTCCTCAACATGCCAGAAGAAAACATGATTAGTTTGAAACCTCCTTGTGAATCAAAAAAAAAAAAAGGTCTCATTTAATAGAATCATAGTATGGGTTAGGTTGGAGGAGACCTAAAAGATCATCCAATTCCAACCTTCTTGCTGCAGGCAGGTTTGCCACTCACTAGATCAGGTTGCCCAGGACCCCATTCAACCTGGCCTTGAATGCCTCCAGAGACTGGGAGTCCATAACTTCTCTGGGCAGCCTGCACCAGGACATCACCACCCTCTGAGTAAAGAATTTCTTCCTAACATCTAATATAAATTTCTTTTTAGGTTAAAATCACTCCCCCTTGTCCTTTCACTATCAGAATGCATAAAAGTTGGTCCCACACCTGCATGCAGCTCCCCTCAAGTGCTGGAAGACCACAATGAGATCTCCCCAGAGCCTTCTCTTCACCAAGCTAAACTAGCCCAACTTGTTAAACCTTCCTTTGTAGAAGTTCTCCAGCCCTTTGATCATCTTTTTGGCCCTGCTCTGGACCCATTCCAACAGCTCTGTACTCCTTCTCTATGGGGACCCCAGGCTGGGACACAGTGCTCCAAATGAGGCCTCTAAGGGCAGAGCAGAGGGGGACAATCCTCTCCCTCTCCCTGCTGACCCCCCTTCCTGCTGATGCAGCCCAGGATACCGTTGACCAGCTGGGCTGCAAGCGCATACTGCTGACTCATGTCAAGTTTTTCACCTACCAGGACCCAAAGTTCTCCACAGGCTCCTTTCAGTGAATTCTCTCAATGTGCTCATGTCTGGGGCTGCCCTGACCCAAGTGAAAACACCTTACACTCGGCCTTATTAACCTCATTAGGTTCTCATCATGCCTGTCCATGTTCCTCTCGATGAAATCCCTGCCTTTTGTTGTGTTGACTGCATCACCTAGCTTGGTGTCAACAATAAACTTGCTGAGGGGGCACTCGATTCCAATGTCTAAGTCATGATAAAGATACTGAAGAACACTGGTCCCAAGACAGACCCCTGGGGAGCACTACTTGTGATTAGCCTCCACCTGGACATAGATACATTGACAACAACCTTCTGGTTATGACTGTCCAATCAATTTGTCCACCAAATAGTCCAGCCTTCAAATCTCTGCAATTTTGAGATAAGCGTGGGGTGTGGGCTGTATCAAAGGCCATGTACAGGTACAGGTAGATGATGAGACTGCCTTTCCTTTGGCAACCATTGCATCACTCCATCATAGAAAGCCACCACAGTGGTCAGGCACAATCTGCCCCTGGTGAAGCTTTGCTGGATGTCTTGGATAATCTCACCCCTATTTAAATTTGTCCTTTGCACAGAAAGCAATGTAAGTAGTTTTCCTATTTGCGTAAAATTAATTGCAGATAATTGCAAAATTATTCCACAAAGAATGTATTTATTAATAGTTTTCTTTTACTTTTTAACTACATTTTATTGTTTGTGCTTATACAAGTGCCAGCTCATCAGCTACTCTTGATTGATATATCTGGTTATGTTGATTACAGTTTGTATCACAGCATAACGTTTCAACTGAAACAAGTTCATAAGTAATGATTTTATTACTTAATCCTTAGTCTGTGAGGGGCGGATACAGTCTTCAATGTCTTTATATTAGAAAATGGATAGATTTACAGTAGTGATGGTCTTAGGTACCAAATTAACATGGAATGTGAATTGACTGCGTTCATACTCAGAGTATCTATCCATGTGTATAAACATAGAGCACACCAGGTTTACTAGGATATCATAATTGCAAATTGGTGTTTTTTTACTACATATAATTTCACTTTATTTTTTCAGCTTCCATGGACTAGAGCCATGTTAGTAGAAGTTTCCTTTCCTGCTCTTTTTCTCTCTCTCTTCACAGTTAATGAGCATCTGAACTTCCAAGGAAACAAGGTGATTAGGATAAAAAAATAATCAGAACAAATCCCCCTTGATTGGAATGAAAGGAACAAAGAAATGACAAGTGAGTGCCAAACTATTTGCAGACCACTTACACAGTCCTAGAAAAGAATCTGTCTCTCCCTAAAGATTTCTTCCAGTGAAGTGCTAAGCTCAAAGTCTTTTGTTCTACCTTTATAATTTTCCAATTTCCATTATTTTTGCAGGTTTTCCTGTTTTATTTACGGGAATAAACTGAATAGCTATGTGCTACTCTGGTATTTTAAAAATACAAGGAAAAAGAAAAGGAGTACAATATAACACAAATGTAAAGTTTTTATTATAGCCTGAGAAATGTTTAATGTTAAAAACAGAAGCACAATGTACATTCACATGCTTTTTAAAGAGTTCTGTGAACTTGTAAAGCTCTGAAGAAAGAGTTTTATGGACAAGAGGGAAGAGGAAGAGAGACTAATGTCCTGTGAACTCTATCAACGAGTTTTATTATAGTGATGTCCTTAAAAAAAAAGTTATGGTACTGCATGTTTCTAAAGCATATGGTGAATTTATAAACACCAAAAATTTCAATTTATCTACATTTCTTCATTTGATCTTATGCAGTCTTGAACTGGCAGAAAAGAGAGTTGCCAGCATCCCCCCAGAAAGCAATGTAGGAATTGTTATGCATAAACTCACTTAATGCTCCAGTTCAGATATGTAAACCTGCCTGGTCAGGAAAGATTTGTGTGATAAAAATGCTCCTTTGAAAAAAATTGAAGTTCAGTGACAGCTTAGATTCTCACTGAAGTCTTAAAAAGTTGAATTTAGAAAAAAGAGTGAGAAGTTCCCATTTTGTGAAAAAAAAAAAAAAAAAAGGTTGGAGAAATAGAGGGGAGGTAAAAGCAGAAAATGCTTTTTGTCCTTAGAGAAAGGGTAAAGAATTACAAAAATGCTGTTTTCTGCAAGGCAGTTAGTTTGAGATTTAAAACTTGCTGATTTCATATTCTAATGTTTACGAATTTATCTCAGGCTGGATATGTTTTAGACCAGCAAGCAAGAGCCTTTCAGAGCAGCAAATGTAGTTATGTTCTCATTAAGCACTTGTATTCGTTTCTTTCTCCATTAAATAAAAATAAGAACATGCAATTTATTGTTTCATCCTTCTCTTCACCTTCACAATTTACTTCTGCTCTTTTCTGCTGCTAGAATGATAATGTTTTCGGGGAAAACTCCAAAGAGAACATCTCAGAAGAACACAGAAAAAAGATGTTGAGCTCCTGCAAGAGGGTGAAGAGGTAAAGGAAACAGCTGTCTTGAGATGTAGAGTCTAGTTTGTTCGCTCATAATGATCGGCAGGAACGGAGGATACTTTTCTGATTCTAAGTCTAGGACCAGCTGTCCTTTTTGGTGCTGAATGTACCAATATGAATGGAGATGATTACCACTCTTGAACTATCCTATAAAAAGAGTAAGTCTGGAGGCACTTTCTAATGTAAATACATGGAAGAAAGAAAATGAACTGGAATATTTTTTTACGAAAACAAGTACTGGAGCATTGCAAGTCACATTCATACTCTTCCTGTGTCTTTGGCACAGACGTCTCTCCTTGTATAACTTGAGTGAAATGGGCTGTCAATTCTGTTTGTGTGAGAAAAGTGTGGTTTCCTTCCATCTAACCATTGCCTCTCCCTACAACATTAGGGTAAAGAAGGACCTGTTGGTGGTTTGTTGGATTTTGGTTTTTAACAGTGACCAAGTATGAAGGCCACTAAGATCAGAAACAATGGTTAAGATGAAGAGCTTGAAGACAACTGGAAAACAGAAAGGGCAAAGGATTCCTTCGTTTCAACAATGTAAACCTAACTGTGGAGGCTACAGAGGTGAAAAAAAAACAAAACAACCCACTGTGCTAAGTTTAAAAAAAGCCAGATCAGTTGCAAATAAAGACAGATGAACTTTGTCTGAACAAAACAAGGAGGGATTTGAAGCTTATCTAGATAAATGGGATTTCGATGTTAAAGCATGCTTTTTCTCATGGGCATCATTTATTTTAATTATCCTACTGAGGGAAAAGATTATACTTTGGACAGAAGGAATTTTGCTTCAACATCTTGACCTAATTAAGAGTTCATTGACATTTTATATTTGAATTTTGTCACTAACATGCACATGACCTTGGAAAATCATACTGGTTATTGTTTCATAAAACAATCTCAGTCATATGAAACATAATGGGAAAGATCATTTATTTTTCTGGCTTTGAATATGGAAGGATTTGTCCACTTACATGTTATAATGCTAAAAGCACTGCACAAACTGCCTAATAAAATTTAACTTCTTGGGCTTGGATTGCTAAATAGTCTGCATAGTTGTGGCAAAAGGTTAAATGGCAAGACACTTACTTCACCAGCAGAGGTTCTTGGCATGTCACGTATGAACATACAGAACATACAAAATGCACTGTGCTCCTTCACTTCAACAACCAATACAGGCAGCATGAACAGTGTGTGTCTTTCTGCAAAGCTTATAGGTCTGCTCTTTTGACATGACTTTTGTACACACTGTCCTCCCATTGGGTTTCTGGTGGGGTAGGGAGCAAGAGAAGCTGGGGGGTTGTATTCAGGCTATGAATGTAAGAGGAGGAGTTTAATAGAAGAAAAAAATTTATAGCCAAGAAAAGTGATACTGAGTGTTGCTATCTTGGGTTTTGGGTCAAGGCTTGTGTGGTGGAGCGTTCAGCTTCTTTGTCACAAGGCCATAACGTTCAGAGCTGATAGCTAGTAAGTTTATCCAAAGGTTTTCAAAATGGGAAAAATTCCATCTTCATTTAATAAAACATATTTTTTGAGAAAATTTTAGATAAAATTCAAGAGGGTTCTTGAAATATGACAAATTTGCTGCTAAGAGGTAGAAAGTGTCCACCATAGACTTCTGTGTTTTGGGAGGACCATTTGTTGTGATTAAACTTCCTGAAAGCATTGGAAGAGATTTGTTTTTCCTCTCTCACACATTGAAAACAAGTTTTGAAACCTTAAGAGCTGTTGTGAAACAATCATCTGGCAGGCTCTGCTACATCTTCCTTCCAAATATTTTAAAATTTATATTGTGTCTAACACACCATTTTTCCAGAGAGTTACTGGAGACATGCAGTCTCTGTCTGCTACCTTAATTCTATATTTAAGAGTGCTTGAAGAGTTTGAGGGATCCATTCAGGTTGCAAAAGCTCTGAAGGTAGGAAATGACGTGGCTGAAGGGTTTGACTCTTTAGACATAGCTGCTCTCTCTGAGCAAGGCAGCAGTATCATGAATAAGGCATGCTGAATCAGGCTTACTGTCTTACAGGCAAATCTGACACGCTGGACTAAGTGAGTATTTACTATTGATTTCAAAAAACATCAGACTTCAGCTCCAAATTAGAAAATAAATCAGTTTTTTTTTGCTGTGGTGTTGTTTTGAACAGAAAATCCAACGGGTATAGAGGATACACAAAGAAGAAGCGTCTCATTGCCATTCTACAAATTCATGAATTTTCAGTCATTACTGCATACAGATGCATACATAATGCTGTATGCTGCTCAGATAAGTTTCAGAAGAGAAGTACTTGACAGGAAGTCATGCGCCCTTCCTTGCAACTCTGTGCCTTCAGCAGAAAAAGGATAGTGTGCAGCACCTGAAAGCATGACTTTCACTTCTACATGTTTATCCAAATGCAGTTCTGGTGTGCACCAGAAAAGAAAGTTTTCATATGGCACTGCCTGCAGTTTATTTACAGTAGAAGTTCTGATGCTGGAGCCCATGTACAACAATCTCTGAGCATGGTCTGATACCCACATACATCCAAATTCTTGGATCTCTGCTGGTATTCTCAATTTTATTGCAGGTTTAAAACATGAAATAGCACTCACTGAGCTGACATAGCTCTTGCAGAGTGTTTATTTTATGGTGGTAGCTCTGGATTTGCCTAAGCTGGTTGTCTTTTCCCTGCTCTCTTAGAAGCCTCATGAGCCCACTGACTCCAGAGAGACAACGCAGGAAATTGTTTGGGTTGGTTTATTATTCTGAGATGTTTGTTTAGTTATGTGGAGCTCTCACTATCTCTGGCATGCCAGAGCAGCCTAGCTTTGAGGACCATGCTGACGCTGCTTAGCAAATAGGTGAATCAAGCTGTCTGTTCTGCTCCCTCTTTTTTGTTTGAAATGCATCTGAAAGAATCAAGACAAGGTGAAGTGGATGCCACCCAGATTAGAAGCCCAGCAGTTACTCATTAATAATGAGTTTTGAAAGCTAATGAACCAACAAATCTATGAGAGCTTTGCTAACAGGGTTCAATCGGTTTAGTGGGATTTAGAATCGGTCTGGTTGCAACATACACTGAAGGCAACATTCTGTAGGCATAAGCAAAGAACTGAGACTGAGCTGTAGGAGAAATGAGAATCCAGAAAACTACTGGATGTGTATTTTTACATCCAGTTTAATTTCCACTTGTCTTCCACTGCTGTGGGCCAGATGGACTCAATGTAAATGAAGAGATATCGGAGCCCACTATACATTGTGCTGTGAAAATGCTCTCATATTCCATGAATTTCAAGACCCTGTATAAGCTGGAAAAAAAAAAAAAAAAAAAAAAGGAATCCTTTCAGCTTTGACTTACAGATACAGATAGAGAGCAGAATAAAAAGAACTACAGACATATGTACATATATAAACCTCTCATGTAGCCATTTCACTGTCATCATATATCTGCTTTCTTGCCTCATCTCAAGATCAAACTACACAAAGTAATAGAAAAGGCACTAAATTCATGAAATAACTCTAGAGTTATTTGTCAGCTCTGATTGCTCTTTGTGCACCCCAATGTAGCTACATTGTCCCTGCCCATTGCATGGAAGCTGAACTAGAATCTTCCATCCAACTGAAATGATTCTATGACTCTACCAAAGCGTTGACCCAACAGAGCTTAAGTGTGGAGGATGGAGAGAACATCCACTTGTTAATTGTTCAAGGGGTAAGGGCAAGAGAGATTAAATTTGAGGCAGCCAATTTCTAAAATAAGACAAAAATTCTGCTTTTTTTTTGCTATCGTCTTCACTACATGCACGGTGGAAAACAAACTCTGGAAGTCTACAAGCGTGGACTGTGACAGAGGACAGTAATATCACTGGTTCAAATAGGGTCAGTAGATTCGGAGGAGAGAACTAAGTATGGCTGTTGAACACTAATGAATACTTCAGGTATACACTTCAGGCTTACACTTTACTAAAAGTTCTTGTGCTGTTGGATGATGAAAGCTGAGACACTTTACCAGGAGAAATTTTATCTTGTACCGTTGCACGACTTTCTTAAGCTGTCACTGGTGCCCAATGTTGGAAGTGAGCTGCCTCTCAAAGCAGTGCTTGGCCTCTCCCAGTATGGGGTGGTTTTTACATCCTATGGATATGCATTCTCTATCTTGTCATTGGATTTCTTCTCAAACATTTTCCCAGGCGTTACAAGTATGCGGTGATGGTGAAGAAACCAGTTTGTGTGTGTGGAGACAGAAGTAGGAACATCGTGCACAGAAGTTGCGAACTAGGCTAAAGCCAGCTTTACTTGAGGAATGCTGGAGAAGAAATATTTCCCATCTGTTTACATAGCTGGAATGTTTCCCCCACTTGTCAGCAGGTCAATACTTTTATCATGGCTGTTCAACAGAGCCAGGATGGAAAATCATGCTTCCTTCAGGTGCCTCAAAGTACAACAAACACATGATAGAGCAGCTTTGCAGTTTATCAAAGAACAAGGCAGTTGCTAATGCAGCTGGTCATGTTCTGTTGTAAGCCCTGTCTGCTTGTCATTGTAAGAGCTGTGTCCCTGGATGTGTTTGTGCATCATGCAAACCTGGACAGAGTCAGCAGGAACAGAGTGCTGTGCATATCTGAGAGCTGGATGCCTGTTTCTCCCCTGTCTTAAAGACAGACTGAGAAGGAGAGCTCACTCCCAGAGGCATTTTCTAAACATAACCATGTTTAGGTCAGAGCCTTGGAACAGCAGACAAACCAACTAATACCACCCAGGAGATGGGAAAGCTCTGTACAGAGTGCAACAGAAATCCAGAAATGTCTGACAGAGGAGGAACCCCACCCAGCTTCCAAAAATAATGCAGTGCAAACCTCAGGATGCAAACTTGTGAAAGGTTTGTACGGACTGTATACAAGTTCACAGTAACTCAGGACTGGCATTGTTTGTATTTGCAGAGGCATTTCTTAATCTCTTTTCCTCCACTCTTAGTTCATTGATTGCTAAACACTTTTTAAGAGTTGCTTTCTGTTAAGGATGAGCAACAACGAAAAGTACATGCGAAGAGGATATTTAACATCCTTTTGAAGGACACACTGAGTTTCTGTTATAATAGCTCTTAACTGTGCAACTGCTTGCATCTGATAAGACAGTGCATGTGCTTAGAGGGCACATTCACGCTAAACGCCTGATGGGATCACAGCCATGAGGCCTGACTTAGAGACTTTGAGGTGCCAGAGAACAAACTGATTTTCACCATTCTAGTGTCAGTTAAATCAGAAAGCATCTTTGCATAGAATTAGCTCTGTCAATCTGACAAGGATTTTGTAGAGAAAGCATTAGCAGCATGAAGGCAGAGGACAGCTGTGCAAAATCCAGTAGATTTCTAAAACTGTGATTCAGTTAATACCC